GTGGCGCGCGGTAATTTTTAATCATGCAGGTCTGGTCGTAATGGGCGCTCCTATAACCATACGTCGGCCATCTGATTACCAGGACTCCACTGTCCCCATGCTCAACGACTCTGTAGTGGCAGCAGTGGCTGCTGCTGCTAATAGTAGGGCGATGATGGGAGTATTTCGAAGAGTGGTAGATTAGTAGGAATTAATGGGAGTTCACTAAAATGAGTATCGATATTTTGTCAAAATCATGGGTGGAAAATTGACGAAAAAAAGGAAAAAAATTTTTTTTCGTGTTAGGTGCATCTGGCAGTATGAGTAGTCAAGCAACGAGTCGTATTGTCCGTTTCGCACAAGTAGGGGCCATTTGGGAGTATATTGCATATACTTGAGTTCAGGTGGTGCGAGTGGGACCTAACACCACTAAGGAGGAGTATAATGATGTTATAGAAGATATGAAAAGCGGATGTGGAGGCTTCGGTAAACTAGATGCGGTATATGTTGCTTCTGCTGATATTCATGTGAGTTTGTGATGAAAAAATTATCGTTAGTTCGTATCGGAATTTCAATGTTAGGATCCTTCTACTGAAGGCTTGGTCCTCGCTGCTGGTGATGTGTGTTTGGAGTACTCTGATCTCGGAGGTAGTAGATTGATATGCTTGGAAGTGTGTATAGATTACTCCTCAGGTGCCGAGGCGTGCATGCGTGGTATGCATGGACGTAAGTATGATGGTCAAGTCGTGCACATGAGTAGTGTTGATGAGGAAACCTGGCAGAATTTGGCGAAGTGAGTTGAGATTGGTGTGGTAGTAGTAATAGGAAATTAATGATATAGAGTCTGGGAAAATATGAGGAGGAAAATGAAGGAAAAATATGGGAGTAAATTATTGCCATTTTTGTACACTTCTACCCTGGGACGTGTGTGTGAATTCTCAGAATGCTCCTATAAGGAAACTCCCGAACATATTTTGTAATGATAATTATGAATAGAATATACTAAACTAACATCGTGTATTCATACTATGATTACCCTCATTATGTTTATCGCATGTAGCGCCGTCAGTAGTAGAATAGATGAAGTTGTTGTTGTTATTTTCTGCGTATTGTAGGCCGGTCCTCGTGGAGATGGACGCTGCCCTTGGTTTACTGTAAGATGGTGATCCGTCTTGGAGACCTGGTAGAGGCAGAAGTGGAGGAATTGTGGTATTACGTGAAACTATTGGTATTACTTCTCTTGTGTGGTCGTTTAGGGTTGCGTTCAGTGGCCACAGCGTTTGTTATGCAAACTTTGTATTATTCTATGAGCGAATCTCCAACTTCACTGTTGCCATCATATATAGCGATACCAGTAGCGGCGTTTCCTATATAGATTCTTGCTAACAGTTTTTATACTGCCGCACTGCTTAATGCGACGTCACAGGTCTAAAATACCGAGCCTAGAGAAGTCGAAGGGAAAGGGACATCAGTTTTGTGCAACGGGCTGTCTGCCTAGTACTGTTGGTAGACTCACGGTGGCCTATTATGAAGGTTCGGTGATGTTGGATTATTTACGGTATGAGTCATCGATGCTGCTTGTACCGATGAGAGTAGATCGCGGACGCGCTAAGTTCGGTATTGACTCCAGCCAGTGGAGGTGTTGATCTCACGAAGGGAGT